ATGGGGACAGGGAAGGGACAGAGAATGGGCAGAAGAAGGGGCAGGGATGGAATCGGAACAGGCAAGGGGAAGGGGCAGGGATGGGGACAGGGAATGGGAAAGGGGCAGGGGCGGGGGTGGTGGCAGGGATGGGGACAGGGAATGGGCAGGGGAAGGGGCAGGGATGGTGGCAGTGCAGGCTGACAGATGGCCCAGCAGGGGAGGGCTGGGCACAGGCGAGCGAGGTGACCACGATGGGCGGGCAGTGGGCGAGAGATGGGACAGTGAAGGAGACGGGAGGGATGGGGCTGGGCTGGGCAGGGCGGGCAGGACGGGCAGGTGGCCCAGGCAGCTCAGGTACTCACAGTTCTCGAAATAGAAGCGGTGGAAGTCCATCCCCTCCACCAGGTTGCCCAGTGCCTCGGGCTCAAAGGAGGTGAGCCCCGGGTCGCAGATCTTCCTGCAGGCAGCAGGTGAGTGGCCCCACCTGGCCCCACCCGCCCGGCCCCGCCCCGCCGGCCGCCCCACTCACGCGTAGGCCTCGAAGTCGCCGTTGTTGACGGCCTCGATGAGCTGCTCCGTGATCTTGATGATCTCCTGCTTGCGGGCTGGGGGCACGCCACTGTCACCGCCACCGCCCCGGCCCACCGTGGCGTGGGTGGACGGGATGTTGGGGTGGACATGGGACATGAAGGGGAGGCATGGGGACAGACACGGGGACAGACAGACAGACCTGGAGGGCAGAACAACCCTGGGGACAGACAGACAGACCATGGGGATGGACCACGGGGACAAACACAGGGACCTTGGGGACAGACAGACCGACCATGAGGGCAGTCAAGACAGACCACAGGGACAGACACAGGGACCTCGAGGACAGACACAGAAACTGTGGGGACAGACAGACACCCCTTGGGAACAGATGGGGACCACTGTACTCCCAGGACCCCCACAGCTCTGCCACACCAGTATCGGCATAATCCTCTCAGCACGTCTCATTGCTAGCCCAGTGCCACCCCTGCATGTCCCAGTGCCGTCCCAGTGCCCTCCCAGCATGCTCAAGCATCCCAGTGCCTGCTCAGCACGTCCCAGTAGTTCCCACTGCCTCCCAGCACTACTCCTGTGAGTCCCAGTACATCCCCCTGCCATTCTAGCACCTCCCAAAACACCCAGTTCCACACTGGTGTTTCCCAGTGCCATCCCACTGTGTCTCAGTGCCATCTCAGTGCATCCCAGTACCCTCCCAGTTCCATGCAAGTGCATCCCGATATCCCAGCGCAGTCCTAGTGCATCCCAGAGCTGCTTGTGTGCTCTGATGCGTCCCAGTGCATTCCAGTACACCCCAGTTCAATCCTACTGCATTCCAGTGGCAGCCCAGTACACTCTAGTGCCATTCCAGTACGTCTCAGTCACACCCCAGGGTGTTCCAACACCATTCCAGGGTGTCCCAACATACCCCAGTTTACCCCAGTACGTCTCCCGACCATCCTACTGCATTTCAATGCAGCCCAGTGCCAACCTACTGTGTCCCAGTGCCCTTCTAGTATATCCCAGTTCACTCCAGTTCCATCCCAGTGCATGCCAGCATCTTGCTGCTGAATTCCAGTGTGTGCCAGTGCAATTGGAGCGTGTTCCAGCATCATTCCAGTGTAGCCCATCCCACTATATCCCAATGACTCATTTCATCGGATGCCATCCCAGTCACTTCAGTTTCATCTCAGTGCATCCCAGTGCCACAGCCCAGTTCCATCCCAGTATCTCCCAGTGCTATTTTAGAGCATACCAGTACACTCCAGTTTGCACTGGTGCATCCCAGTAATATCTCACTGCATCTCTGTGCCAATCTCCGGCGTCCCAGAGTTATTCTAGTGTATCCCAATACATCCCAGTACCATTCCACTGCTTCCCAGTACATCCCAGTACCAGTCCACTGCATTCCAGTATCCCCCAGTTCCATCTCAATTAATCTCAGTACCATTCTACTGTATCCCAGTGCTCCCCAGTCCATTCTTTTGTCACCCTAATGTGCTCCAACCACCTCAGTGCTGCTCCACTACATCCCAATTTGTCCCAGTGTCACTCCTATGCCCTCCTAGTGCATCCCAGTGCCACCTCTGTGCACTCCAACACTGCCCATTTCCATCCCAGTATGACCCAGTCCTACTTCAGGGTGTAACAGGACACTCCAGTTTGTGCCAGTGACTTCTCGCTACACCTCAGTGCCAACGTACTGGGGAATCCCAGTACAGCCCAGTACAGCCCAGTTCTGCACAGAACACCTCCTGGTGCCATCCCACCACGTCCCAGTATCATTGCAGTGCATCCTGATGCCATCCCAGTGCCTTTTCAATTAACCCCAGTTGCCATTCCAGTGCCATTCCAGCATGTCCCAGTCTACACCATTTCCATCCAAGTGCACCTCAACGCTTCCCAGTACCCTCCCAGTGCATCCCAGCATGCTCCCAGAGCACCCTGGTGCCATCTCAATGAATCCTGGTGCCAGCTCAGCTCCAGCCTAGCACACCCCAGATCAATTGCAGTGTGTTTGAACACCCACCCCAGTGCATCCTAGAAATGTCCCAGTGCCATCCCAGTGCATCCTGCTGCCATCCCAAATCCCACCCAGTGCATTCCAGTGCTGCCCCAGCACATCACAGTGCACAACTGCATCTTGGTGCCATGCCAGTTCCACCCCAGTTCATCCCAGTGCAATTCCAGTGCAGTCCAAGGCATCCTGGTGCCAAGGCATCCCGGCTCTATTCCAGTGCATTCCATCCAGCACGCTCCCAGTGCCCTCCTTGTGCCACCCCAATGCACCCTGGTACCATCCCAGTGCATTCCAGTGCCATCCCAGTGCATCCCATCACCATCCCAGGGTATCCTAGTGCCATTCCAGTGCACCCCAACGCATCCTGGCGCCATCCCAGCTCCATCCCGATGTATTTCAGTGCTACTCCAGTGCACCCCAGGGAACCAAATGCATTCTGGTGCTAGGCCAGCTGCCATCCCAGTGCCATTCCAGTGCCATCCCAGTGCATCCCATCACCGTCCCAGGGTATCCTAGTGCCATTCCAGTGCACCCCAGTGCATCCTAGTGTCATTCCAGCTCCACCCCAGTGCATTCTAGCACATTCCCAGTGCATCCCAATGCATCCTAGTGCCATCCTAGTGCATTCCACAACTGTCCATCACCGTGCCATCCCAGTGCATCCCGAAGCCATCCCAGGTCATCCCAGTACCATTCCAGTGCACCCCCAATGCATACTGGTGCCATCCTAGCACCATCCCAGTGCATTCCAAGACCATCCCAGTGCCATTCCAGTGCAACCCGATGCATCCTAGCACCGCCCCAGTGCATCCCAGCTCCCTCCCAGTGCATCCCAGCGCAGCCCTGCCGCCCCCTCGCCCGTCACCTTTGGTGTCCTCGTCCTCAATGGTGGTGTTGGTGCTGTCGGAGGACTCCTGCTCGCGGGACGGCGGCGGTGGGGGGGAGACACAAACAGGGGGTCAGACCTGGCCCCGGGGGGGACGGGGAGGGGGGACAAGCCCGACCAGGGCTTGGCAGGACCCCGAGGACGCCGGACGCCGCGGGGGGACCCCGCTGCCACCGCGCCCCGTGCACGCTCCTCGTCCACGTCACCCCCCGCGCCATGGCTGATGCTGGGGGAGGATGGAGGCGGAACGCGGGGCAGCGGTACCTTGGCGCCGTCCGCGGGGTTATGAATTACGGTAGTTTGAGGCTCCTACAGGAGAAGGGAGAGAGACAGAGGCGGGGGTGGGGGAAGCGAGAGCCCGGAGGGGACAACGAGGGGGGACGACGGATTGAGCAGCACGTGGACAGGGGCGAGGAGAGACCCAGACCAGATTTGGGAAGGGGATAGAGAGGGGGGAGAGAAGCAGAGAGTCATTAGTCCAGCAAAGCCAAATGGTTTAATTCACAGACATGGAGGGGGAAGAAAAGGGGGGAAGAGATGGGCAGAGCCGGGGGAGAGACGCAGTGAGGCCGAAAGGATGGGCTGGGCTGGGGGGCAGCTCCGTGCCCCTGTCCTGCATCCCGGTGCCCAGGGGCTCCACTCACCGTGCATCTGCGAATCCTGGGCATCCCTGTGCCTGCATCCCAGGCATTCCCATGTCTGGATCCTCAGCACCTCAGTGCCCACATCCTGCTCACCTCCACCCACAGCTTCCTGCTGCCTGCATCCCACCCTCACCGTGTGGGGTGGGCACTCCTTTCTCCATATCCTGCACTCACTGACCAGCCAGGCACACCTTCCCCGGTGCACAGCACTCCATGCCAGCTGGGCATCACCCTGCCTGCATCCTGCCCTCATGGTACCATGCCCTTGTGCTGCACCCCTTGTGCCATGAAGGCCATAATGGGCACCTGCACCCACATCCTGCACCTACCTTGCTGCTGGCATTGCCAAAGCACCCCGAAATCCTGCACATGATGTTCCAGACAGCCATGCCTTTACCTGTGCCAGCTGGGCAGTCCTGCGTCTGGATCCTGCCTAACCTCACCTGTGAGGTCACAGTCAGCAGCCCCATCCTTGTGACCTACACCTGCCTTGCCTTGCCATTGGCATCGCAGAGTGTCCCCAGCCCCAGCCCTTCACCCACCTCTCCATCTGTGTCACCAAGATCCTCCTGCCTGTGGCTTGTCCCCATTATGGGGCACCTATGTCCGTGGCACCCACCTTGTTGCCATGCTGGGGCACCCCCAGACTCATGTCTGTACCCACCTCGCTCCCCGTGTCACAGGACACCCTCGCACCCTTACCCTGCACCCACCTTGCTGTCCCCATGGCAGGAACATGTCTGTGTCCATGTCCTGGACCTACCTTGCCCGTGTGCGGGACACCTGCGTGACCGTGTCCTGCACCCACGTCACCGTCCCCACGGCTGAGGGAGACACGGGGCTGTCCATGCCTGCGCCCTTCACCCACCTGCTGTGTCCAGCGGGGTCACCCTGTGCCCACATCCTGCCCCCCTTCCATCCTGGGGACACCCCCTCCCCAGCGAGCCCAGGAACAGCTGGTCAGGGATGGGCTGGTGGGATGGGTCCCATGGGACGGGGGTCTGGGGGTGCAGGCTGGGGGGCACCTACCAGAGCGGTGGGCGGGAGGGTCCCCTTGGGGCTGGTGACGCCGGCACTGCCTTTGGTGCTGTTGGTCTGGGGCTGGAGGGGAGAGATGGAAGGGGCTCAGTGGCATGGAGCGGGGAGAGGAGCCCGCCCTGGCCGCCCCCCGGCCCCTCTGCCCCTCACCTTGACGCCGTCCGCCTTCTTGTTCAGTAAGCTCTTAGCTGCTGCGGGGGGACACGGCGTCAGCGCGCCCCGGCACAAGGGACACTACACGTCCCCCCAAACCCAGACTCTTCCCGGCCACCCGCCCTGATCCCACCCTGGGCGCTGGCAGCACCCGCCATCCCCGTGTCAGAGAGAGGGGACACACGAGCAAGGTGCTGTCCCCATCCTGGGGGAGGTCCCCGTTTTAGAGGGGTGGTCCCCATGCAGGGAGGGGTGTCCCCATTCCAAGGGGGTCTCCATTTCGAGGGGTGTCCCCATGCTGGGGGTGTTCCCTTACAGAGGGGAGTCCCCATGCTGGGTGGGGTGTCCCCATCCTAGGGAATCCCCATTTTGGGGGGTTCTCCATGCTGGGAAGGGTGTTCCCCACCTGGAGGAGTCCCCAGCCTCAGGAAGTTCTCCATCCTGGGGGAAGAGTCCCCACCCAGGGAGGGGCTTCCCCAACCCTGTGGGGCCATCCCCATCCTGGGGAGTGTCCCCCTCCTAGTGGGAGGTTCCCAAACTCAGGAGGGTCCCCAACCTTGGGGGGCTGTCCCCATCCGGGGAGGGATGTCCTCAACCTGTGGAGATCCCCCTCCAGGCAGGGTGTCCCCATCCTGGAGGGAAGGGTCCCCAAACTCAGTGGGTCCTCAGACCCACTGAGCTGCCCCCAGCCTGACGGGGGTCCCCATCCTGGTGGCCCCCACGTGGGGGGCAGGGCTGGCTTACCTTGGAGAAATGCAGAGAGGAAAGCGAGAGAGAGGAGTGGGGAGGGGGGCAAGAGAGAAATGGGGAGGGGGGAAAGGAGGAAAAGGGGAAAAACATAAAAAAAGAACATAAAAAATGTGAGTTGAGTACAGGGGGTGGGGACAGCCGCCTGTGCCCCCCTGTCTCCCTGGAGGGGGACAAGGACAGGCACGGGTATGAGCATCTGTCACTGCTACCACGATCTCTGGCCAGTGGGGGAACAGGGGGTGATGGGGACATGGTGGGGCACAAGTGGCTGTGGGGGGCAGGGGGTGTCACCTCGAGCATCCTCATCATTCCTCCACACTGAGGGACCCCTCCCCCAGCTGGCAGCACAAGCTGGGGGGAGATGTGTGGTGACAAGTCCAGTGACAGCAGATTGGCACCCATCAGCCCCAAAGGAGGGGAAGATGACCCACACATCCCTCCCCCGTGGACCTGTGTCTCCTCAGGAGTCCCTAGCAGGGGGTTCCCAAGGGTCCTGGTCCCTCCTCTGAAAGCAGGCGGGTGCTGAGAGGTGGGGGTTTAAACCAGAGCCAAACTGGGGGGCGGGAGAGGGGGACCCCTGGCAGGGGGGCCAGTGGTAGCCCTTGGTGGGTAAGGGGGATGGTTTAAGACCCGCCGAGTGTTTCGCGGCACCACAAACACTGGCTGCAGCTCTCAGAAGCTGTGGGGAGGCGCATGCTGGGAGGACAGGCATGCGGGGGGGGCACATGCGGGCTGGGGACGCAGGGGGGGCACGGGGGCACACGGGACATGCGGCCCGTTTGCCCCCTCTTCCATGCAGCGCTGTGCCCCCCCTGTGTGCACGAGGGCTGGGAGCAGTGGGGGGACACCCCGAAATTATCCCCCCACCCCCAGCTCCCAGGACTGGCCCAGACGCGGAGCTGGCGGTGCCACCAGCGTGTCCCCCCCGAACCACCGGCCCGGGGTGGGGGCTGGCGCAGAGACCCCCGGGCCAGCTGCGGGGTGGCGGCCGGGGGACAGCGGGGACGGGGAGGCTGTGGGGCAGTGCCGGGGGACAGTGCCGGGGGGCAGTGCCGGGGGGGCCATGCATGCGCTCCGATTTCCGAGGAGGGCACCCGAAAAACCCGTTGGGGAGGTGGGAGGCAGGGAAGAGGATGGTCGGGAGAAGAGGGTGCCGTGGGGGATGGAGGATCTGGGGACACACAGACCAAGCGGGGCCGGGGGGCCGGGGGGGCCCTTTGCAGACGCGTCTACCTTGTTCCACCAGCCCCAGCGGGGCCCCGGCAGCGGCCGCCGACATGGTGGGAGGAGCGGTGGTCTGTCTGCCCACTGCGGGCCGGGAGAGAGAGAGAGGGAGCGGAGCTCCTGTTAGGGGGGCGGAGGGGCTGCGGCCGGGACCCCCACCGCCCCCCCCCCAGCGAGGGCTCTCGGGGTGCCCATCACGCTGGCCGCGGGCCTGGGGTGGCTGGCGCTGCTCCGTCCCGCTCCCCGTGCTGCCCCCCGGCAGCACCAGAGTGGGGGGACACGCGGGGACCGGGCGCTACCTGCTGCTGTGTGCGAGGGGCGGGGGGGCCGCATCCTGCCCCCACCGTGGCTACCACATGCCCCGTCCTCACCGATGGGGAAAAAATGGGTGGGGGGGGTTAAGGAAGGGAGGGGAGAAAGAGAGAAAGACAGCGAGATAGAGAGAGGGGGGCACCGGCCCGGGGGGGATGGAGGGGGACTGCGGCCCCCGGCCCCCCCGGCCAGTGGGAGCCCCCCCTTACCTGAGAAGTTCCTGGTGGCCAGCATGGTGGTGAGGATGGCACCCTGCGGGGAGGGGCAGCGTGAGCGGGGACAGGGACACAGGGCCCTGGGGCGCGGGGTGGGATGGGGACAGATGGGGTGATGGGCACAGGATGAGGCCCACAGGACTGGGAATTGGGAATGGGGAATTAGGAACTGGGAGGGGGGTTTGCAGGACGAGGGCCAGGATGGAGCCATGGGAGGGGGCAGTGGGATAGAGGGTGGGCTGGGGGTGCAGCTGGACAGCGCCAGGCTGGAGCCAGGGCACGGGGCAGGGACAGGGCAGGACCACAGTGCCACACCTCGTGTCACTGGCATGGCACCAAAACCCGCAGCAGAGCACCAGGCACGCCAGGGTGGGACTGCAACACCCGATGGGAAGGGACTGTGCCCCAGGCAGGGCACGGGAACACCCTGGCGGTGCTGGGGCAGGAACGTGCTGTACCAGGTGTACCGGGTGCTGCCAGAGTGGGCAGGGGTCCCACAGCGGGCAGGGGAGGGTCCCACAGGAGAGCCCCATGGAGGGGCAGGCTGGTGCTGGCAGGATCAGCACTGTCCCCAGCCCACTCCTCCCCACCAAAACTCTCACCTTGAGCTTCCTCCGGGCATTGAACTTTTTCAAGCACTCCACTGTCTCCTGCCTGTGCATCATGGAGGCCACGGTAGAACGTTGCTGGGGGGGACAGCGGGGTCAGCGCCAGGTGCCAGCGGTCAGCGGGCCGGGGTGATGTGCACGGGGGGACATTCTGCACTTACGCAGACCCACGGGTGCTTGAGGGCCTCGTGGGCTGTGATGCGCTTGGCGGGGTTGATGGTCAGCATCTGGTTGATGAGGTTTTTCGCTTCAGGGGTGACTGTGTCCCACTCAGGTGAAGGGAACTGGGGGGGCACAGGGACACGGGAGTGACCGCTGTGGAGGGGCAGTGCCGTGGCACCTGTGTCACTCCACACCCCTGCATATCCCCAGCTAGCCACCAAAGCCACCCCCAGGCCCTGCCTGCTGAAGATCAGCCGTCGCTCCCAGTAGTTAAGGAATTCCGGAGTTTGTGGGCCAGCCGGGGGCCCTGGCACCGGGCACTTACATCGTAGGCCCCGGCCTTGATTTGTTGGTAGAGTTTGTGCTGGTCCTCGTCCCAGAACGGCGGGTAGCCCACCAGCAGGATGTACAGGATGACCCCTGGGCCAGGGAGAGCGGGGTTAGGGCAGGGCAGGACCCCGAACCCCCCTGGCTCCCTCCGGCCCTGCAGTGTCCCCACGACAAAGCAATTATCCCCAGAGTGGCCTGTCCCCTGTGCTGCCAGGGTGGCACGGACGGGGACAGTGTGGCACTGCCAGGACACGTGGCACGGGATGGCCTCAGGATGGGGTCAGAGCTGGAACAGGAACTGGGACCAGCATAGAAATGGGATGGGAAAGAGGGCGATACTAGGACGGGAATGGGATAAGACTAGAGTGGATCTCGGAAAGTGCCAGAATGGGAGTGGGCAGTGATGGGGCAGGGATGAGGATGGGATTGGGCAGGGGCTGGACGAGGATCAGGGCAGGGATTGGGGTGGGGACAGGGCAGGGTTCGGGACTGGGAGCGGGTGCAGGTCTGGGATGGGGGCACAGAAGGGGCAGGGACTGGCAGGGACTGGCTCTTACCACACGCCCAGATGTCCACTGGTTTGCCATAGGCCTCTTTGCGCAGCACCTCGGGGGACAGGTAGCCAGGTGTGCCCGCAAATCCTGGCACAGGGACAGAGATGGGTGAGGAGAGCAGGGCAGCCACAACGGGAGGGGACCAGGACAGCACACAGGCCTGGGACAGGGCGTGGGGCAGGGATTGCTGGGCAGGGCTGGACATGGCGGGCACAGGGCGAGGTGCTGTGGGCACAGAGGTGTGGACGCGGTGGGAATAGGGAGAGGTGGGCACGGGGCAGATGCAGCAGGAACGGAGCAGGGGCTCAGCGGACACGGAGGGACAGACAGACACAGCGCAGGGACCTGCTGAGCAGGCACAGCGGGCAGGGGCTGGGGCTGGGGGGGCAGGGGGGCACCAGCACTCACCGAACCAGGCCTGCTGATCCCCCTGCACCTCGATGGCGAGGCCAAAGTCTGCCAGCTTCACCGCTGCCCCTTTGCACTTGCTGGCCAGGAGCAGGTTCTCTGGCTACGCAGGCACAGGGAGCACCGGGCACGGACACGGGTGGGGAGAGAGAGAAGGGATGTGGCAAGTAGAGGGATGTGACTGCTGCCACTGACCAGGTCCTGCCCATCAGCTGGCCCTGTGCTGTGGGGCTGTGGCCATGGGTGCCCTCTGCCAATGGTCCAGGGTGCCGGATGGCACAGCCCCATAGCCAGATCGGGGTCTTCCTGTGTCTCCCTGACTTCATCCCAGCATCCCCCCCCACAGCATGCCCCTGTATCCCACCCATCGTCCTCTTGTGTCCTGCCCTGACCCCCAAGCCAAGCTCCAGCTGGCCCACACAGCCACATCCAGCATCCCAAAGGTGGCACGCAGAGGTGGGACCCCACACATCCCCAGCAGGACACCCAGGCTGTCACTCAGGGTGTCCCCGGGTTGCCCCAAGCAGGTCCACCTCCCTAATCCTAACCTGTGCCCCCATCCCCAACAGCTCCCACTGCCCCTGGGGCAATGGCAGCTGGGAGGTGCAATGAGACCCCCCAGCAGTGCAGAACCGTGCCACAATGGGGGCACAGGTGCATCCCCAGGAAAGGCGGATGGGAGTGCTCAAAGCTGAGGGGATCCCCAAAGCCCAGCGAGATCTCAGTGACTCCCCAGAACCCAGCAGGCCAGGGCCACCCCCAGCCTGTGGGGACCTCCAGAACTGGGCAGGGGGTTCGGGGCAGAGGGGGGGATGGGGGTTGGGGGACACACTTACCTTGAGGTCCCTGTGGACCACCCCCATCTGGTGACAGTGCAGGACAGCCTCCAGGATCTGCTGGATGCAGTGGCTGCGTGCAAATGGGAGGGGGTCAGAGGCACGCTGTTCCCCCGCCCGCCACAGCCCGTGCACAACCTGCAGCTCCAAACCGGCCCCCCCGTCCCACTGCAGCCAGGGCAGCTGACAGAAACAAGTGGTGACCTTGGATTTGTGGGTGCTGTGCATGACAACCCTTCTGTGCCCCTGCCAGGGGGCCACCCCTGGGGGATCCCCACCTGGGGGGGTCACACAGAGGGGTTACCCCTGGGGAGAGTCCCACTGGGGTGGGTCATTGCCTGGGCGACGCCTGTGGGGATGCCACTGCCTGAGGAGGGGTCACCCCTGAGGGCGTCACTCCCTCCTGGGGGCACCGGCCCTGGGGGCAGATCGCTGCCTGGGAGTCAATCCCTGGGGATCACCCCAGGGCTGTCGCTCCAAGGGGGTCACACCGGTGGGATCATCTCTTGGGGGGCCCTGCCTGGGGGTCGCCCCTCCGCGCCCACCGGGTGAGCTCCAGCCTCGGCACAGAGCCACGGGGGTCACCCCAGGGGGCTCTGCTGCCCACCCCCGTCCCCCAGGGGAGCCCCCCATCCCTGCTGCCGCCCAGACACGGGGATCCCCCAGACAGGACTCACGGGGGAAGGGGGAACAGGGGATGAGGGGGCGGATGGAGACGAGACAAGAAAGAAAGAGGGAAGGAGCAAGGGGATGAGAGCCTGAAATGGGGGTGAAGGGGACCCCGCCTAGCTGGGGGAGCAGGGGCGTGAGGAGGGGCAACCTCCCTGGGAGCAGGGTGGGGGGGGCAAAAAAGGGGGTCAGGGAGAAAAAAGACTGAGGAGAAAGCCCCACAGCGGGTCCTGAGGAGCGGAGCGGGGGCCAGGAAGCGGGGGCAGCGGCGGGTGGGGGCAGCGAGGGGGAAACGGCCCCCCCGGCCCCCCCCAGATACTGACCTGCGGCTCCCTCTGCTCAGGGGCAAAGTGATGGGTGGGAGGAACGCGGGCAAAGAGCTCATGGACACAGTGACTGCAAAACAGAACGGGGGGCGGGGGCGGGGGGGCAGGACGGAGGGTTAGGGGTGGGAGAGGGGGCAGGATTCGGGGGCAGGAGAGGGCAAAGGCTGCGGGAGGGGGGCAGGATGGGGTGAAGGGGTGCGGGATGGAGGGGCAAGGGCGGGAGACGGGGGCAGGATGGGGCTCGGGATGAGGTAAAGGGGGTGGGAATGGGAGGGCAGGTTGGCGGGGTGGGATGAGGCAAAGGGGTGGGGGGCAAGGAGTGGGGGTCAGGGTGGGGGGCAAGGAGTGGGGGTCAGGGTGGGGGGACAGGTAGGGGTACGGGGTGGGAGAACGAGGCAGGAGAGGGGGATGGGAGGGTAGGAGGCATTTCGGGGGCAAGGACGGGTGTAGGAGGCAAAACAGAGGGCAGGGGCTGGGGGGCAGCGAGCGGAGGGCAGCGGTCGGACGGACGGACACACAGATGGACACACGGACACGCACGGAGCCCGAGCAACGTGTGATAGGAGACAAGAGGGACAGAGGGATGGGGAGAATGCATGGAGGAGGTGAGGGGCACGAGGGGGACAGGGACGGGGGGGGCGGAGATGGGGAGAACGAGAGAGGGGGAGAAACACTGTTGTGAAAGGCCAGAGACCACGGGGAGGGGCACACGGCGGCACACAGGGCACTGGGGGGCTGGGGGCAGCACAGGAGGGGCCCTGGGGCCCCCCACTTGCCACCAGCCCCCCCAGCACAGGTCATGACAGTGCCAGGACTCAGCGGCAGAGTGGGGAGCATGGGGTAGGAAGTGGAATACGGGGGCGCCCCACCTGGGGGCCCACCCCACCCAGCAGCAGGACGGAGGCAGTGCAGGGGTCACAGTAACACAGGGGCCGAGGGGGTGCAGCCCCCCTCCCACTGGGGCCCCCTGCCTGCCTTGCTGGAGCTGCCCCATCCCTGCAGGCTCCCCGAGTGCCGGGCACGGGTGGCTGGGGGTGTCCAGGGCTTTAGGGGGTGCGTGGGGGCTGGAAGCTCACCTGGCATCAGCCTCGCTGTAGTACTCCCGCGCCACGATGTCCTCAAAGAGCTCACCACCCGTCACCCTGAAACACAGCCAGGCACCACATCACCTTGAGACCCCCCAGGAGCCCCCAGGGTCCCCTGAGCCCCTCCCGAAGCTCGGGGAGCCTCCTGCCACACTCACAGGTCAAAGACGAGGTAATGAAACCCCTCCTCGGAGATGCTGTCGTGGAGCCGCACTGTGGGGACCAGATGGGGACAGGGACAGGTTCAGTCTCAGCCCCCCACGAACTCCCTGGCCCCCTCTCCCAGCCACCACACGTGGCACCCGTGTGGTGTGTGTCACCCATGTGTGTCTGTGCCACCCGTGTGTGCGTGTCACCCATGTGTGTGTCACCTGTGTGTGCCTGTGCCACCTGTGTGTGTCTGTGTCACATGCAGCCCAGACACCCACACCCAGTGTCCCAAAGGTGGCACCCAGAGGGACCCCAGGGTGGGACCCCACACAGCCCCAGGCTGTCCCTCCGGGTGTCCCTGGGGGCCCCAGGCAGGCCCACAGTGGTGAGACCCCCGGCGTCCCCGGTCACTCACCGATGTTGGAGTGCTTGAGCAGCCGGCAGATCCGCGCCTCGCGCTCCAGTTTCTGGTGGTCTGGGGGAGCAGCAGTCAGGGGGGCACCTGCCCGGCCCCCTCCACGCCCCATCACCTGCCCTCAGCCCCACCCCAGCCAGAGGAGCCCTAGGTGCCCATGTGGGGTGTGCAGGTGTGCAAGTGTGTCCAGGTTTGCAGGTAGGCGCACACGGGCGGGGAGTGCACGTGGATGCAGGTGTGCACACACTGCGGGTGTGCACAGGTGTGCACGTTCACCTGTGTGCCCGTGTGTGAGGCTGCGCGTGCCTGTGCACAGGTGTGTGGGTGTGCGGGGGTGTCCGTGTCCTGCAGCTGCGCACACACGGGAGCGTGGCTGTACCTGTGTGCACCTGTGTGTGCAGCCCCACAACCCCATGGCTGCACTTGTGTGCACAGGTGCAACGTGTGTGGCTGCACCTGTGTGCATCACTGTACCTGGGTTGGTATGTGATGTAGAGTGTGCAGATGTTCCCGTGTCTGGCGGTTCCTGCGTGTGCAGGTGTGTGCAGGTGTGTGCAGGTGTGCACATCTGTGCAGCTCTGTGTGTGTCACTCTATACGTGTGTGCCTGCAACAGCCACTGCACGAGGGCACACCTGTACCTGTGTGTGCAGCTGCACCTCTGGACGTGTCTGCAGTCAAGGGCAAACAGACACGTGCACAGATGTGCACACAGCTCACACACGCACACACGTGTGTGCACCGCTCCACTCACTGCTCACACCTGTGCACAGGGACACACACCTGTGCACACACAGAACACACACACCCTGTGCCAGTCTCCGCTGCCTCTTATCCAGGTGCACATCCTAAACATCTACATCCCCACACACTGTCACACATCCCACACCTGCAAACACCTGTACACCCCCACTGCTGAGCTGTGAGCACACCCCACCCCACAGGCACCCACTCTGCTCACAGATGTGCACACACAGCAGTGCCCACCCGCTTGTGCCAGCGCACACTCACTGTTGGCATGCGCACACCCCGCTGACACACGCTCTGCTCACACCTGGGTGCACACCAGGCACACACACACACCTGTGCACACACATTCAGGTACCCGCTGCTCACAAGCGTGTGCACAGCCGCACCATGAACACACGGCTGTGCGCACACACTGCACACCCCTGTGCACACACACAGCTCACATCTGTGCACACACACAGCTCACCCCTGTGCGTGCACACCCTCCCCTCCTCCATCTGCTCACACCTGCAGGACACCCCTCAGGGACAGATGAAGCTCTGAGGGGCCCTGGGGGAGGCAGCGGGGGGATGATGGGGACAGACAGGGCCAGACCCCCCCAGAGCATTCACCCCTCCTCCCCACCAGCACCCAGTGCCACCAGCACCACTGGGGTCACAGTGCCACATGTGTCACGGGCCCCACAGGCAGCCGAGGCTCAGAGGTGCCACGGGCACCGGAGCTCTCCCGGGCACCAGGCTCATCCGGGAGCGGCGCCCGAGGGGTGTCAGGGAGCCCCAGGGCTGCTGGGGGGTCCTACCTCTGGCTGAGAGCTTTTTGGTGTTGATGATCTTAGCAGCGTACTCATGGCCAGTGCAGAGCTTGACGCAGCGCCGGACGACCGAGAAAGCTCCCCTGGGGAGGGACGGGCTCAGCACGCCCCGAGCACCTCGGGGTGCGTGGGGGCGGCTCCCACCCGTGACTCAGCACCCCGGGTCAGGGGGCTGCGCCCACAGTGACTCAGCACCGGGGGTGAGCCCCGACACGGGGGTGGGCAGGGTGGGGAGGGTGGGACGTGCTGGGGCCTGGCCGGGGTGCGCTGGGGGGCATCGGGGGGCGGCCGGGGGAAGGAGGGTGGAGGGGGGGCTCGGTGCCACGCACCATCGCTGGGGGGGGGTCGCAGGAAGGATCCAGCACCGGCAGCTAGTTGCCATGGGAACAGTGGGTGGCCCGGATGGCAGCAGTGGCCGTGGTGGCTGTGATGGTGATGATGGTAGTGGCGGTGACAGCGGTGGTGGTGGCAGCGGGCATGGGACCCAGCTCTGAGAACGGGGAGCTGGCAGCCACCAATGCCCCAGGGACAGGGACAGAGATGAGAAAAGCAGGGTCGTGCCCATGCCAGGCAGAAGCACCGGCAGCCCCTTCAAGTGCCAGCAGCTCCTGTCCCCCTTCCAGGACCCGTGTCCCTGCACGTCCCCTGCCTGTCCCCTGCCTGACAGGCCCCTCCCTGGTGGGGGGGTCAAGGCAGCATCAGAGCACTCAGAGGAGATCCCCAAAACAGGCTGGGGACGTGGCTGAGACCAGCACCACCCCAGTCCTGCCATGGGGAGGGGGCCGTGTGTGCCCTGGGAAGGTGCAGGGCCTGGCTGCCTCCTGCCACCGCCCCCCGTCCCCACGTCCTCAGGCACCAAGGGCCCCATGCTGACCAAAACAGTGGGGACCCTCTCACCACCAGGGGAAAAGGGGGGGTTCCCAGGGCCCTGACCCCTCCCTCCCGCATGTGGCCCCCAGGACAGGGGACACGGTGGGCGCCAGTCCCTGCGGGGGGAGCACAATGTCATAGCCCGAGGCATGCCTCAGTTTCCCTCTGGCGAGAGCAATATCTCTCCCTACCCCGGTGAGGAGGGGACACATGCGTGATGGCTGGCAGGCTACACCGAGAGATGGGAAGGGGGAAACAGGACCACGTTGCCATGGCAACCAGGATGGGCTGGATTTTGGGCAGACCGAGAGAACAGCCCCCGATTGGCACCATGTTCCCCCTACTGGTACCCTCGAAGGGACTACAGCCACCCCTGCAAAATGTTCCCCCAGTCTGGGGAGGTGGTGGTGCAGCCCCCCGCACGGAAGGTCTGACCCCCTCCCCGCTCCCCTCATTTTACTCCCAGCCAATGCAACCCCCATGGCCCTGGGGGCAAAAGAACCCCCCCAAAACAGCTCCTGTTCAGCTCCCCACAATGCCCACCCGAGGGGCTCATGTTGTGGGGGGCTTGGAGGGATTCAGGGCAGCAGAGGGGACCTGGGAGTCTTTAAGGCCCGGGGGGCCCAGGAGGGCTGGAGTCTGTAAGGACCCGAAGGGGGAGTGGATTTGGGGAGTTATATAAGGTCCAAAAGGGTCTAATAGGGGATGGAGGGTGTATGGGCTAAAAGGACCAGAGGGGAGAGGGATGGGGGGGGGTCTATGGAGATGGGGGAGGGTCCATGGCAATGGGGGGGCTGGAGGGATGGGGAAATCCATCAGGGTGAGGGGCAAAGGGGGTCCTGAAAAGGGAGGAGATCTAAAATGGAGCAGGTGCCTATAAATATTCAAGGATGGTCTGGAAAATGGGGGGGTGTCTATAGGGGGGCTGAAAGGACTAGGGAGGGGGATTGAGGAGGGTGGGGGATTTGGAAGGGACCGGGGGGGCTGTAAGGACTGGAGGGGGTGGGGGTTTGTAGGAGTTTTGGAGGGGATCTGGAGGAATGGGGATCTATAAGGACCAGGGAACACTGGGGGGCTGGGGGGTCTGTAAGGATGGGGAGGGGTCTGTGAGAATGGGGGGCAAGGGGGCTTTAAGGACTGAGGGGGTCTGCAGAAGCCAGGGGCAGGATTAGGAGTG